GAAATTTCTTCAACAGCTCTGGTTCGCTACTACCTACGCCATTGCATGAGACTGGTCCACGAATTATGTTTATACGCGCCGGCAGTTATCCACCCGATAAGTATACGTTCAAGGAGATAATGGCAGTAGCGCATGCGCAACAAGAACTATGGATACGCGAAGATGATTATGCGGCTGTAAATGGTTTCATTGATGTCTTGGACGTATCACGTCTAACGGCANATAATGGCAGTAGCGCATGCGCAACAAGAACTATGGATACGCGAAGATGATTATGCGGCTGTAAATGGTTTCATTGATGTCTTGGACGTATCACGTCTAACGGCAGCGCATTTGGCCCAACATACGCCAAACGTTGTTAAGAAGATGTTAGTTTTTGCAGAACAAGCTATACCTTTGCGACAACGTGCCACGCATTTCATTAATATACCAGCAGGCTTCGAAAAGGTATTCAATATGCTTAAACCGCTGATGCCAGCCAAGCAGCAGGAGCGTGTAAGTGTTGAGTGATAATTTTGATGCAGAGAATATTGTATTAAACGGCAATAACATTGTTTTTATTTTCGTCACCCATAGCTTCATTTACATGGCAACAATTTGGAGTCACTGTATGCGCATATACCACAAAAATATTTGCCCAAAGAATATGGTGGTGAAAATGGTTATATTGAAGAGATTACAGAGCTCTCAGTACAATTCTTCTTAAATAGACGTGATTACTTTATAGAGGATCATAAATATCGGAATAATGAGAAGTTGCGTGTTGGCAAGCAGCCAGACTTTGATAGTATATTCGGCATGGATGGCACATTTCGAAAGTTGGATGTGGATTAATCGAAAAAACTATGCCGGGGGGTAGTGGATAGTGGATAGGTATATGAGCGAATTTTTGGACTTACAAGCATATGTAAATGGTGGAGATACAGATTAATAAAGCAAATCAAAGATGAGTGAGTTTGTTTAATTCAAAAAGTCATCAAATATTGACAGTTGGCTTGTTTGTGCGAGGCCTTTTCGTGCCAGAAATACACTCGTAGTTTTGTAACTGCCTGCCGAGGTGAAAGCTCTATTAGAATAAAACAAACGTGTACGTGGTCGGAGCAGTAATTGACACAAGGTCGAACTGGGGAAGCACACACGTCTAACCACTAGGCTAAGGCGGCCGCTAATACTTTTATTCAGCTTTCTTTAAGGTAATATCTTAAATTTTGATTGGTTGATATTTAAAATATTGTAATCAATGAGCATTAAAAAAACTAATACAATTAATCTTATAATTTGTGCAATTCGAGACCATTTAAAAAAGTACCTGCTCAAAACATCGTATTTCGTGTTTTAGATTAGGTATAGAGTTTTATTTGATTTATCTCATTGTACAGCTCATACGAAACTGTCGTATATTTGTATTTGTAGGTACTAATTTCACACATATGAACATACATATGTATAACAGTATGTTAGCAAAATATTTTATGAAATAGGTACTAGTAATTCAGACAT